TTGCATTTTGTTCTGAAAACTAACATTGCCACGAGATTCAGCATAGTCGATAACCTAGGTTTTCATTCGTTTCTGACAATCCCAAACCTAACGGCAGAGTAGTACTAAGGCTTCCGGAAAAACATCCATAGCTTCCGAACCGTGGATTTCTAAGATGTCGCTTAGATCTAGTTTTGTAGAGGACATTTCGGACTATATATCCACGTGAAACAATTCTTAGATTTCTATGCCAGCTTTCAGAGAATTGAACTAGTTTTCCACAGATCTCCTGAAAAACCGGTCTTTGAAAGTTTTTTCAAATTCAATTTTGCTTATGAAAACACAGCTTCGGGTCTTGGCTAGCGAATGATGAAAACCGCAAGTCTCTGGCTTTAATTCCTTTTCAGGTATTCCAAAAATAACCAACGGCCTTGTATTTTGGAACGGATAGTAGTCTATAGCGAAAGTTATTTTTAATACAAGTGTTTTTTTGCAGCACAAATTGTTGAAACAGCTGACTGAATGACACATTATTCGATTCAGTTTCTGACTCTAATCACGAATATGGGCTTGGTTTCGCTTTAAAATACTTTCTTCAAACCAAAAAATGCAAAATACTGTTCTAAAAATTTAATGATTTCTACGTGATACCTACTGTCGGGGGCACTAGGGGCTTTCGGTGAGCTTAACGTTGCCCACCGAATTTTTTTCATCTATTGATAGATTAAGGTTGGAACTACTTATGCACCAAATATTTCCAAAATTCGTCTTATGCCATGGGAGAAAATCGATTTTGAAAACTGACATTTTCAGCCAAAGTCGCTACTTTCGATGCAGTTTTTATTTGAGCGAAAGCGAATTAGAAGCTCACACGTTCAGGTATTGTAGTATTCAAGGTCCTCTATCTAATAGTATTTTCAAAAGTTTCTGAAAATGTTTCGTTTCGATACAGTATGGCGCCAAAACAGACAAAATATGAGTTTAGGACGTACCGGATACAGGTCACTGTATGAGATCAAAACCATTCCCAGAAGTTGGGTTTGTTGTAAATCGAAGAAAAATGTTGGCTCTATTTATGTAAAAAAAGTTGAGCTCTTTATCTTATATGATTGCCGAGATATGAGCAATACAAAGTTGTCAATATGACCGATGTCGCATTTTTCAAAAGTTGGTCGAAATTTTAAAATGCTCGTTTCTCAGCAACCCAGCAATATTTTTTCAAGCGGAAAGCGCCATTTTACTCAGAAATGTCTATATTCTCTTTTATGACTGGTTCGAACGAGTTCTGTGAGATACGATTGAACAGTGTTCTATGTAGCGTAGTCGCCGCTTATGTGAAATGGCTGTTAAGAGTTTTTAATACTGTTGAAAATATGGGGGTTTATCTTGAATGATGATGGCGTATCATGAATTCAACAGCGAACACAAATGGTATTGGAAACACTGTTACTGAAAAATAGGCACGAAAACACATCAAAAAGAATAAGACAAGGTTGAGGTGTTATTTGCAATACAATAATTAATAGAAACCTCTAGAGTTTGTGCTTGTTTTGCGAAGTAATCAGTATACAATCATAAATTCATAACCATTTTCTCAGGTGCCATTTTACTTGTGTCTCGCGGCGATGTTAATATGTTGAATGAGATGTATGCTCTCTTCAGAGGTATTTCTGCAGTAAGTGAAGATTATGATGATAATGAAGCGTTAGTTAGTGAAGAAAAAGCCACTGAAATGGGAAATAATGTATCATAAATTCAGTATCAAACATGTAATACAATTCTATCCTGCACTGAGTTTATTCCTAAACTGATAATAATTCATTCGTTTCTGTATTTTCAAATATTACACTATGGTAATAATGGTACAATTCATTCACAATCTTCAAGTGATTTGACAAAGATCAACGTATGTCACATCTTTGCCAATCATATTGTTGAACTATTCTTGAAATGCGCTTTTTGTACGAAAGGTTTAGTTTGAGATTTTTCAATTAGACTCCTTTCACATTGTACATCCTCGCTTTCTGTCTTTCCTTTACCTAGCTACTAAAACAGAAAAGAATGGAATAGAAAAAGTATAGGACCGAGAGGAAAACTGTCGTTCTGATCCACACTTTTCCCGGATCAGAACTGCTAGAAAAGCAATTTTTTCTTCTTTCTTATTCTGTTATGATAGGGTGTCAAGAACAGTGCATTTGGAGTATAGAATGCACGCTTCGTCTCGTTCTGTTTCGTTTTTTCCGTTTTGTCATTCGACATATATCTGAGTTGAGATTAGAATCTATCCAAATTCGCTTAAATAAACCTAGTCACGTTAGGAATGATTTTTAAGTGAACTAGGTGAGATCGGAATTTCTAAGTGAACTTCAATGAATGAATTAGAGCAGAATTCCACTAAGATTAAAAGGTAGTTACACGTTCATAACCTGCCATATTTCATTTTAGTTTGCATAACGCAAGACTTTTATGATAAATTTGAGTTTTTCGACTATTTATTCACATAAACGTGGCTTGAAAGTTGAGGCTTTACGTCGCATTCGATTTATGCAAGCTTGTCAGCTTTACACTGATTTACCTCTTTTGAAACGTGCAAATGTTTTGGTATTCTGGTATGGGTGATACTAATAGATTTTCATTTGAAAAACATAAAATGGTATCTTGTACTAAATGTCATGGAGGCAAAAGATTGCAATGTAAAAACTGTCAACAATATACAAATAGTGTGAAAAGAAAAAAGCTGAGAGAAGCGTATATACTACGCTCCAAATGCATATTCTTCTTTACAAACTATAAAATAGAATAAGAAAGAAGAGAAAATCGCTTTTGTAGCAGTTCTAATGTGCATTTATCTAAAGGCTATACATACGCTCCTGGTCATGAAGCTTACAGACACTGTTTCTTCACTGTTGAGTTCTATCTGTCATAAGGCTTTATCTTGATGGCTTTTTATGATGTACTGGTTTTGCTGCCATTTAGAAGAAAGCGATCTTTTTGAAATACTAGAAAACATAACACACATGACAGGACTCTCTACTGTCTTTAAACTTTTTTCACTGAATAACTTGTTTTCTTTGGATTTTGTTCGATTTTTATAAGGAGCATGACAAATTCTTTGTCTTTCACACAAGCACAAAACTAGATGTCAAAGTTAATCCTACTAACATTCAACACAAAAGTTCATGAAAAACTACGTATGTCTCTCTACTTATTGTGGAAGACTACTGCTATCTCATCGGTAGCTGACTGTCATCTACTCTCTGCGTTAAATTGAAAACGGAAAGCAATGAGATATTCTTGACGATAAAGAAAAGCTTTATATCAGTGTTAAATCTTTATTGAATGAAACCAGGCAAACACAACAAAACTTGGCTTCTCATTCGTCGTTATGAAATATGTTATCTTCTTTAAGTACGGCTGATTTACGATTTACATGGTTTACTTTTTTGTTATACTGTAATTGATAAAAATCAAAGGAGCAGAGAGTTGTTATAATAAAAGTGAAATGGTTACTGCTTAAAAAAAAGAAGTACAGCCTTGTGTTTTATTTGTATGTTCACATGTGAAAAGTATAGCCAAACAAAACAAAAGAATATAACAGCACAGCTGTTCTGTAATCTTTAGTTCTCTTTTTCATCACTATTCGCATCTTAGTGTTAAGCGAAAGTATTTATAGAATAAACCATTGCTTTTGCTTTTACATATGCAATGGATTTGATGCACGAAATAACATGTTATCAATTATTACCCAAATATGTATGAAATCTCGACGACCACCATTACTCTGTCATAGTTGCGAGTTTACATTTCTAGCCATCTCTTGACAAAGTCACAAAGCTTTTGTTACCCTGACCTCTCATACGACTAAACATCTTACAGAATAATTTCTTTAACTGAAGTATGGGAAAAATTATAGAGAAGACGCTCCTCAAAACTCTCTCAGAGCTAATATAAAATGGCTTTTTGATGAATCTTGTTTCTTTTATTTTAGATAGAATTTATTATTTTGGAACATGTTTAACAACGAATATTCCAAAAAGTTAAAAGATGAGATCCATAATGTTAAATATGACGAAGTTGGTCAAGATGAATTACTAATAAAACCAACAAAACTAAGAACATATGGAATTGGTACATGTATTGCTTTAATATTCTTCTTAAAAATACAAGATATAGATTACGTGGCACTTTATCACAATAGTTTAGCTGAAATAAAATCATTGGATTTTGTAGAATTAATTCAATTTAAATTCAATCAATTCTTTCGCCACACAAAACCTGATAATTATTGTATAGAAGACATTAAAATCAAAGCAGTAATTATCATAGGAGCGGCATATCATGAAGATAGTTATAACACATTTATTGAAAGCTTTAAGGTATTTCGCAATGCACATCAAAAAAATGTAACATACCCAAATCATATTATAACACAACTGGCAATGTTACCGAGAAAAACAATACTTATATGTGCACCAATGAACATTACAGAAGGGAATTATGACACTACTCATACATATTGGTCGTCGGTGAGCCTTTTGGCTGACCCTAAAACGAATACAGTGGAATTCACCTGCGACCTTGCAAAATCCGAGGTATTCCTTTAGCAGGTGTTCCACCGTGAATGCATGGTAACATTATAGCTGGTGTTCCCCATAAGAAAAAAGTGTTCCACCTTCTTATGTACGGTAACATTATAGCTGGTGTTCCCCGTAACGAAAAAGTGTTCCACCTTTTTATAGATAGAATAGAATAGATAGAGTGATTGAAGTGTTCCGCTTCTTGAAAAACATGAAAATTGTTCCGTTTCTAGTCTTTTCTAATACGATTAAAGTAAATACTGATAAATCAAAGAAACTATCTTATGCATAATTAAAAAAGAAGTAATTAAGAAGCTATCTGTTTTCACATAAGCTGAAAAGAACATCGATTGATAGAAGTTAAAATACAGATAATGCTACTGTAAAAATAGTGTTATTTGCAACACATGTCACTCCACAACTTCATTTCACAACAATCATGGCTATTCCTACTGACAACCGAGAATTCTACAAAATATTAAATGATGATGATTTACTATCTCAATTCGTTCGCGACCAAAATTTGGCTCAAAAAAGTGATGAACACACATGTCACTGTGGCTCACCTATGGCCGATGGCACAAGGAAGAAGACACTCAAAGATGGTACCGTCAAGATCTATCCGACAATGCGGTGTACCAATCGACAATGTCGAAATCAATTAAGTGTTCGTAAAAATACATTCTTCGCATTTACTGATGCATTGGGTCGACCAAATTCGAAACTTGATATACGGA